GTGTCTTGTTTAAGCACCACTCAGAATGTAGTAAGGTTGCTTGGAACAACAACGTTGGGTGGAAAATAAGAGATAATTCATGAAAATTAAGATTCACCGCACCAACATATCAGAATATAACAAGATGTACAAGCTACGAAAGTAGGAAACAAGAATGAGAATGAAGATTCTGTCAAGAATGATGTTGTATTCTTATAGAATGAAGATTCTTTCAAGATTGAATTAATATAAATCGTTGTGTTATGATACGATCCGACAAAAATTCCAAGAATGACGTATTTTTATAGAATGTGATTGTAAATTTTGTTTTTTTTTTTTGGAACATATATTCTTGAATAATATTAATAATAGATTATTATTATTCTTTAAGAATTTTGTTATTCTTCAACTCATGGTTGAAAATTTTGTTATTATTCAATAGGCTCATTCAATTAGAATATATATTTTGTCAGAATATGCATCTTTTTCATAATTTGTCTTCTGTCAGAAAATATATTCTTAAAAAATGTCCGAATTTAAAGAATTAATATCCTTTAAAAACATATTTTAAAAATTAAGGTAATTAATTATTCCTGAAAATCCATAATTTTCCTTTTTAAAATAAAATTAAATTGACTAAAATATCTTTAAGCCACTGTTTCATTTTATTAGAATGCTTTTTTAATCTAATTATATAAGATAATCACTTTCATAAATTAACAAAAATGATTGGCCCACAATCATTCTTACAACCACACAATAATTAGTTAGAACACGATTACCTAATCCTATATATATATATATATATATATATATATATATATATATATATATATGTATGTATTTTTAAAAGAGAATAAACCTTTTTCCATAAAACATAAATCACCAAAACATTGTTTCACAACCATATCATAAAATGAGAGTCTCAAAATCATAGTACCTCTCAAAACATATCGCCCACTTAATGATGTGCACACTCATGCTTTCGCCTTGCTCCGATCCTTAGAAATACCTGAAATATTTAAATTCACAACTATAAGTCAAAGCTTAGTGAGTCTTCCAAAATACCTCACACAACAATACAAATATAATACCTGTACACCATGCCTACAACACGGGGTTGGACTGATGAGTTTTATTGGTTATAAATACATATACATGTGGAAAATCAGTTAACAATTAAAGGGTACATGCAACTTATACTGATATATGTCAGAACACTTTGAAGATAACATACATTGAACAACAAAACCAAACATGAACCCTAATGTGTAACACCCCGTTTTTACCATTCCATATGATTCAATATAAACCATGGTATTATCCAAGTCACTTAAAATAATTCCAAAGCATACTTGTTCTTTTGACTACACTGGTCAGACAAGTACTTCATACGAACGTTCGGACTTATATTGAGTTTCGGACTTAGTTAAAGAAGAAGCTACCTCTTTCACCTTATTAAAAGAAACATTTTGTTGTTTGTTCACAAACAGATGATCGTAATTCAATGGGACACCACACAAGCACTTCAAAGTCTTTCTTGACTGCGAAGGAAGAGATCGTTGCCCGGGATCCATCTACTTCATGCCTTCAATGACATTACTATAATCCCTAAGAAAACTTGTTTTATTTCTTTATCTTTGGTACACCATTGCACAAAGATCTTTATGATTTTCAAAAATCTGGTTCGTTTTCCTAATGGTTACTTTCAGATTCAGAGTACTGTAAATGGTGATCAATTGCGAAAGTTAGCAACTGAAAGGATGATTTTAAAGGATAAGATTTGAATTTAGGCGCATGAAATTTGAAATTGTTCCTGACATCACACCTTCAGCTATGCCACCTGACACATGCCTGACTCACGCCAGCCTGTTGCGCTTTTTTAGGGGCTTTTTCAGGGAAGTGAAGTGTCAAACATCACTTTTCTCTCTCCTGGAATACCTTATAAAAGGATTTTTATGATTCATTGTTCATTATCACTCTCAAAAGAACTCAAATTCATAGGCGATTTCTCTCTCTGTTGTTCATCTTCTTTTCCAAGCAACCATGAGATCCTTTTCTGAAACTCCTTCAAACGCTAAAAAGATTGCACAATCATCTATTCTCAACATCAAGGGAAGACGGAATCTCATTTTGGACCTTGATATAGCCAAGTACGATGGTTTTCTTCAACCTCTCATCGAGTGTCTTTGTTATTCCCTTTGGTCATCACACTGATGAAATCTAAAATCGTACCCTTGGTTCATCTGTCTAAGGCCTATTCAACAGCAAGCTACCAAAAAGGGGAGGAGATGATTACGTTTGAAATCTTTAACAAGAAAATCCACATCACCAAATTCCAGTTTTGTAGCCTGCTATGGCTTCCTCAAGGTCATGCCTTTGTCGATCCAGAATCCATACCTAACTCTGCAATCTTGGAGATGTTTTATCAAATGGTTTATAGGGAAGTTCTGACCGCCGTCTCAAAGTTCAAGAAGTTAAACTTACCGCCAATATGGAACAAATTGTTTACCTTTCTCTTCAAAAGCTTCTCTGAGAGGGTAATCGGCTCAGACTGTGTAAACAAGCTACTTATGACGATAATGTACGATATTTACTCAAGAGTCAATCTTGACAATGGTTCAGTGCTTTGGGATCAACTGGTCCAGAGTACTCTTTTTACTACACGGCACAACGAGATTTCCTGTACTCGTTTTTGGGCTATCGACATTCAAAGGGCCATTGATCAAATTAACATCCCGATCCTAGAAGATTCGTGTATGGCTGTTATTTAGATTTTCCACACCACCAACATCATATTGGTTGATACTTCTAGATTCACATTCAGGGGCTCCATCCCTAAGGAGATGCTTCACAATGTTCCTACAACGATTGAAGTCATGCGAACCTATCCCAGTCTACCGACCTCCGGTCTTCAACCAATTACAGATGTTGTTCACAAGGTTCTCGAGGAGGCCGACAAACCAAAGAAGGGCTGAAAGAAAAGAAGTGTGAAGGATGGTCCTTCCGAAACTACCTAGACCCCCAAGAAGAAGGTCAAGCGAGCGGCTCGTAAGCCACGAACTCCAACACCAAGTGACCAAGAAGATTCGGAGTCCAACATGATATCATACATTCCAGTTCAACATAATGTTCACCACGAACATGATGATACAACTGCAACTTATCACCCCCCCCCCCCAATTTTCGTAGCCAGTCACCTCTAATCATGAGGTAACTTTTCAAATGCCAACATCTGTTCCACTTATAGATGAATTTTTCCAAAGTTTTACTCCTCCTCACTCTCTTATTACCACTACCACTCCCATCACCATTTCACCTTGTCCTACTATGGGTGTTTCACAACCCCCAAGCTACTATTGCATAATCCATTCCACTGTTTATAGATTCGACAGTGACCACAACCACTGCCACTAGTGAACCTCCAATTTCTGTCAATGCATCTGATGCGGGGGTAGGTGCTTCAGGTTTCAATCTTGGTCGTTCTACACCTTCCATAATCCATATCACCTCTATGCCAAGACTATCCATATACTATTTATGGTGATGATGAAGACGACTTTCGAGGTTTCACTTACAGTCCATTCAACATCAGAACAGAGAGTGATGATGAAGCTCCTGTCAGCATGGGGAAGTTCAAGGCACTATCTGAGAAGTTGGATTCCTTAATTGAGTCCACCAAAACATCCTCTCATGGTGATAACTCTCAGGAAACTATTAAGGCCATCTTTGAGATGCTGACGAAGGAACACTCTGCGAACTATGACAAAACAAATCAAGCTATTGAGGCTTTAGCTTCTGTGTGCAAGGAAACGACCGAATAAGTCGACAAACTAATCATGTATGCTTAGTCTTTCATTAGCACTTTATAGACATCTTTCGAAACAAATACTGTGAAGGCGAATGCAGTAATATCTAGTCTTGCACTACACTTCGAACAGAGAAGGATACACTAGAAAAGGTTCACACCGACATCCAATCTGACAATTTAGAGCTCAACACCTCCATCTCATCCAAAATCCATAAGCTTCGGGATGACTTGGCCACAGAAAGAAAGATAATGGATGCTCTTGCCAGAAGGACAACGAAAGTAAAGGTGTTAACTGGTCATCTCGATGCTGCCAATTTGTAAATAAATGAACTCAAATCTGAGAAAGCAGTCATAAAAAGTTGCATTGCTGATGTGAATGCCTTGCTTTTGAATATAATTGAGACTCGTGATTCTCTAATCAAGGTCACTGTCTGGAAGCATTTAGCTGAAAAACTCAATCCAGTTTTTTGCAATGCTTAATAGGTTGGAAGGTGTTTCAGAGTCAAGCTCACTTCTGAAATAAGGGGGAGAGCAATCTACAAAGGAACCTTTGAAAATGACTGGGCCTTCAAATGAAACTGAAAATGAAGAAAAGCCAAAATCGACAAACAATCCGAAGGATAATGAAGCTTTGGGTTCAAAAGGCAAAGAAAAACTAGTCGATGACGAATAAGAAGAAGAAGAAGAAGAAGACAAAACCAAGAAACTTAAGTGAAAAGCTCGTGTTGAAATTCTTGATGAAAACTTGTGAATCGCAAGAGAGGTAGAAGAGAAAGAGAAAGTTGAACGTGAAGCTCAAGTCACTTTGGAAAGCCAAAAGCTTTTATTTCCATTATGGACTTTAGATCGAAATATGAATGAGGTAGTCGACAATCCAAGCCAATATTAATTAGAGCCGGTTGCATCTTTCGACTTGTAGAACACTCAAGATTCGTAACTGGATCTTCCAATCACACCGAAAGCCTTCAAGTTTCGTAGCTTCATCAAAGTTGCGAATGTGCCTCCAACTGATAATGGTGTTGATCATGTCATCTTCTCCTTCTACTTAAAGCACATGAAGCCTTAGTATGAAACCTGGAGTGTGAAAAAGATAACAATTGTGAAGGTTTCAGGCCCGATTGAAACTGATAGCTTCCCGAACACTCGTTCCAAGGTTTCTATAGGTGCTACAGGTCAGGTATGCGATTTTACACTTGCTGATCTACCTTGCATGAACCCGTACGACTGGATTTTGCTGCTCAATTTGTTGATCAAGGATGAACAAAAGTATGAACCCATTGTTTCTCATCTCAAGCGAATGTTAGTTTCGTACATTCAAGAGGTTGGAAAAAAGGACATTGAGATTACCTCTGCTTTCAGACAGAAGCCAGTTGTATTCCCCAAGGTAGCTCTAGAAGATTTTGATCAAATGAAGCTGGGGAAAATACGAAATAAAGGTTGGTGCATGGCGCTTCAAATCAAAGAGCGTACATATGTTGATTTCCATAAAGTTTGTTTCTATCTTGCTGACAAGCATCTTTACACCACTTATTGCCTGCAATATATTTTGGAGTTTATAGATAAATGCAAAGCGAATCTTAAAGGGGATAATAAGTGTTTCTATTATTTGATTCTTTGGTATATCCAGGTTCACAAGGCCTTGCTGAGCATTGTTCCGAAGCTTTTTGAAGTTCAGAGGCATACTCAACCATGAAGGTCTCCTTCCCAATTGACGCAAAGAGGGAGAGTCTTGGGTCATATGGATTGCATCAATTTAAAGTGCATGCATGCACCATATCTTGTAATCGTCTAAGTTGTAAACCCTATACAGCCTTTACAGTAGCAGTTCTTCATCGAGCTCTTCTAAGGCTATGCTTATTACTTATTCAACACAACATTGATCTTTTTTCTGTGTTTTGATTCTTTTATCTATTTGAATCTAATTGATCAATCAAGTTTTATACATAACACCGATGATTAAAACCCAAAAACCCACATAAGGCCCAAAGATTTAAGCCCAACACTTAACAAGGCTGCTTGAATCGTACGCCTGGCGTATATAATGGTACGTGCAGTGTACCTCAGCCGGAAGTCGTACGCACGGTATACGTGACAGCTATACCACAATCCATGCAAAGACTTAATGCATTAAGATTTTACGTCCAAAAATCAAATCTAGACTCATTAAGGCCTCTAGGGCTATAAAGTTTCCAACTTTAAGCTCGTGCATGGCTACAAGAGGTCCAAAAACAAAGATCAAGTCTCATAAGCCCTTTCCTACGTCTTAGCTCAAGAATGCGGACCAAACTACCTCAAAGCATGCACCTTTAAGCATTGAGACACGAGATCCTAATTGGAAATAAATGTAAAACGCTTGGGAGTAGCTTATACTCACCAAGATCTAACCTTTTTAGGTCCAAAGGGAAAATTTAGTCTCAACCAAGAACTTAACGAAATACAAGAAAATATTTGAGCTTTATACCTCAATGTGGTGCCAAATGAGTAGTAAATGTTGGATCTAAAGTCTTAGAGACAAATCTTTCTTCTTGCACCACCAAAGAAGCTTAAAATCTCATTACAAAGCTCAAAAGGTTCAAAAATGGCTAGGGTTAGTTAAGAGGGCCAAAATGGCAGTGGAGGTTGAGGTTAGGGAAGGTCTTGGGGTCATAATGGGGTTTAAATAGTGCACAAACCCTAATAACTAGGGTTTTGGCCTGAGCCACGTACTCCTAGCGTACGAGATGTACGTGTAGTGTATACACCCAGAGCCCTTTACGCCCAACATACTCAAAGAGGTTAAGATTCTAATCTCGAGGACCAATAATGTCATAACCTCAAATTCCAAAAGTTAAAGACCAACTTGATCAATCTTGGATGTTACATTCGATCCCACCTCACAACTCAAAACCTTCACCTGTGAATAAAACACAGTACATTACCGATTCCATAAAGCTTTTGGTTTTCGATCCCAAGAATCAATTTTGACTTATAAGTATCATGGCTTTCGACTCCAATCTATTCCATAATAGTCAGATTCAAGCTTTGAACTTTTGGCTATTAAACATTGACTTTCATTCCCAAGATTTTATCAAACGAAACTCAATTCAAAATCACTTGCAGCCAAATCAATTAAAGACCTTGTTTTCCATTTTGTTCCAGTTACGAGTTTTGCTGCTTACTGTAACGCCCGTAGATCCGGGCTAGTCAATTTAGAGACGATAAGCATCAAAAAATGAATTTTTGATGGAATATTATTTAGAAGAATTAATCTTAACCAAGTTATAGTATATGTCACAAGGTTTCCGTTCATATAAAGAACACCAAAATCCGAGTTATAACGAAGAAGTTATGACATGTCGAAGTTTTGCGACAGAACCGGAACGACCCAGCGCGACGTAAATAGTGAATTTAAGGTAGATAGATATCTATCCATAGTGATCTAAATGATATACGAAGATGTCTTCGATAGTAGTCCAACGATAAAAAGATAGACAAAAACGGAGTTCAGATGAAGGAGTTATGAATTTCAAACGGAGTTTTCCTGTCCCGGCCTACTAAAGATAATATATAAGTAATATATTAAAAATAAAGTCAAAATTAGCCAATGGAGTCTAAATGAGAGTTTTAGAGCATAATCTCACCTACGCTTCGATATAAAGAACGTTGAAAACGGAGTTCGTATGTGAAAGTTATGAATTTCTGAAGTTCGGGACGCGAACCCCAAAGCTGTGTCAGAGACTACGACGTGGCAAGCAGTGCCACAACGTGACAGGTCTTCTGACACCTTCGGGAGTCCCCCAGATGCAACTTGCGATGACGCATGCAGTGACGACCAAGCCCACAACGTGGAAAAAGGTGTCACAACGTGGCAAGGGCCATTTTGCCCTATAAATAGATTTGAAGGGCCAGCCGAGTTTGGTTGCTCATTCTCTCATCTCTCACCCATATTACCTCGATTTACGTGCAAAGAAGTACCCCCGAAGCCCCTGTATCATCCCGAGACCCGAAGCGAGTCCCGAAGTCTGAAGATCCCGAGAAGAAAAGAGTTTTCGAGCCGAAGCTCTGCCCGCGAGAAACCCGGTGTGTGAAGTGATCCCGGTTTCATCGAAGAATACTACTTCTACAAGTCGTAGTGTTGTTCGATCATCTTCTGATCAAGTGAGTATATAGTCCCTTTCATAACATGATTTTAATACAAGTACGGTGTGAGTGTATTAAATATAAATTTTGGGTGAGTGTGTGGTCACTTTCTTCTAACACATAAATATTAAGTATTTGCTATGAAATACGTGTTATGTGTATAATATAAAGTTGTTTATATGCGTGAGTGTATAGTCCCTTTCATAACCCGATTTTAATACAAGTATGGTGTGAGTGTATTAAGTATATGTTTTAGGTGAGTGTGTGGTCACTTTCTTCTAACACATAAATATTAAGTATTTGCTATGAAATACGTGCTATGTGTATAATATAAAGTTGTTTATATGTGTGGGTGTATAGTCCCTTTCATAAACACGATTTTAATACAAGTATTGTTTGAATGTATTAAGTATATGTTTGGTGTGAGTGTATAGTTACTTTATTCTAACACATAAGTAAATGCTAAGATATACGTGTTATGTGTTTATATATTGTCATTTATTTGAGATAAGCGTGGATTGGATGTTTTATATATGTTTTAAATGAGTTAAACTGTATATGTATGTTATATCTACAAATATGTTGGGCAGAACTGTTGGGTTATGAGCATTCTAACACTCCTAAGTGTACATGCAACCCTAAATACCTTGGATCTATGTTTTCTCTATTATACATGCAAATATGAACATCCAAGGTATTATCCTAATCTAGCATACAAAATAATGGATATAACAAGATAGAATACATACCTCTTTGATAGTGCTTGTCTTCATGAAGCTTGAGTGCTTAGTGCCCCAAGTGTGACACCTCAAATGGTTCACACAACACCATAAGCACTTGGAATAACTTAGAGAGAAATTAGAACACTTCATGAAATCGTGTAGCCCTCATACATACACACATAGTGTTAGTTTTTGTCACGATTTCTTGAGCCATGGGTTTCTTTTAAATGGTGGCTATTAGGGTTACACCATGTAACCCATGACTTTACCCATTCCTTATGCTCCATGGGTTTTAACCTCCATGGAGTATCCATGGGTCACCCCATGGACTTAGTCCAACATAAGGAATCTTGGATCACAAGCCCACATATATAAGAATGAATGATTTACACAATCAACCCATATATTTAATTAGTCTCCTTTTGATCACTTAATTAATTCCAAATTAATTCTTGATCAATACTAATTAAATAACCTTATTAATATATTAGAACTTATAATATATTAACAAACCTTAAGTGTTATTTCTCTCATTTTAGTCTATCCAAGTGCATGATGCCATGCAACCCAAATGGACCATGCCGGGTCGGGTCAAGTCTTACCAATTATAGTTATGGACTTAGACATTAATCCAACAAGAACATGGGTAGACGAATTAGTTGGTGTGTGATGACGGATGAGTTTGAGTATGAGACGAAGGATGAACCTTGGTAGCTATGGATTTAGTATTGTATAGATGAACCTTGGTAGCTATGGATTTAGTACTGTATAGATGAACCTTGGTAGCTATGGATTTAGTACCGTATAGACAAACGTTAGTAGCTATGGATTTAGTACTGTTAGATAAACGTTGGTAGATATGGACTTAGTACCTACAACGGTAGCTATGGATTTAGTACTGTTAGATAAACTTTGGTAGCTATGGACTTAGTACCTACACTGGTAGCTATGGATTTAGTACCCGATGAATGTGTTGGAATAGTGTCTAAGGCTGCATTTATATTAAGCAAGTATTTGCCCCAATTGAGCATGATCCTTTTGGGTTCCCTTCACCATAGCAACTTGATAGGATGATTTATAATGAGAGTTGAAATATTATAAGGAATAATAATATTATTTGATTAATATAAGTCATAAATTAATTAGGAATTAATTTGGTGACTTAAAGAGATTAATTAAATAGAAAGACTTAAACTGTCAAATGTGTGATAGTTATACTTTAGGCCATATTCCCTTATGGATATTGTGGTGGACGATTTTAGGGCTTAGGATAGACCTAAAATCCGTCCAAGGTTATCATGAAAAGGGATTAGGATTGCTTATGGCTTAAGTTATCCAATTAGGGTTTAAAGGTGAAACCCTAGGAGCCTTACAAGTATAAATAGACCCTTAGGGTCATGGAAATTGACACTCTTGTTGCTAGAGAAACCCTGGCCGATTTCTAAGTCCCTCCCCCCTCTCTCAAATCATCCTCTTGCTAGTTGGTGTTTGTAAGCCATTGGATGAGTGACAATTGTGACTCTAAAGCTCCAAGAACAAGAAGATCAAACAAGTGATTCAAGGTAAACTTATAACTCTGATTTCTCAATGTTATTATGCTAGAATAACCATTATAAGTCTTGGATTCATGGATGTTCAATTAGAGAAACCTAGATCCAAGCATTAGGGTTTGTATGTGCACATAGGAATGTTTCTATGGCCAAAACCCATTAGTGGTATCAGAGCCTAGATTGGTTTCTATTGAATTGATGAATTAGTTTCTTGTTTAATGCTTGAAAATTTTGAATTGTGTTTTTGCTTGATGAACTCGGCGAGTCCCATAGTGGACTCGGCGAGTAGGCTAGACTCGGCG